GGTGGTCCACCTGCCTCAGCCTCCCAAAGTTCTGTAACCTGTCCCACAGTTACAGGTGTAAGTCACAGTGCCCGACCTTTTTGCTCTCTTGATAGTATCATTTGATGCACAAAAGACAAAAGTTTTAAATTTGTATCAAGTCCAATGTATTATTTTCTTTTGTTGCCTGTGCTTTTGGTTCATATCCAAGGAATCAACACCAAATGCAATGTCCAAAGATTTCCTCCTATGTTCTCTGTTCCTCTCCTATATCAAATCCATGAATACAGGATGTCTTTCTATTGAAGTCTTAAAAATTTCTTCAGCAATGTTTTGTAGTTTTCAATGTATGAGGTTTTTTTTTCTTTTTTTGCCTCCTTGGTTAAATTTTGAGTAGTTTTACAGTTTTTACTACTATGCTTAGGTCTTTAATCCATTTTAATTTTTGTACATGGTAGATGGTAAATGATCAACTTCATTCTTTTGCATGTCAATATTCAATTTTCCCACTACTAATTGTTGAAAAGACTGTCCATGCCACGTGATCTCAGGACCCTTGTCAGAAACCATCTGACCATATATGCTAGAGTTTATTTCCGGTCTCTTTATTTTTGTTTATTTATTTATTTTTGAGACAGGGTCTCGTTCAGTTGCCCAGGCTGGAGTGCAGTGGCTTGATCTCAGCTCACTGCAACCTCTGCCTCCCAGGTTCAAGGGATTCTCCTACCTCAGCCTCGCCAGTAGCTGGAATTACAGGCTCCCGCTCCCACGCCTGGCTATTTTTTGTATTTCTAGTGGAGACGGGATTTCACCATGTTGGCCAGGCTGGTCTCAAACTCCTGATCCGTCTGCCTCTACTTCTCAAAGTGCTGGGATTATAGGCGTGAGCCACTGCACCTGGCCCCCTATTTCTGGTCTCTTTATACTGCTTTGATTACTGTAGCTTTGTAATATGTTGTGAAATCAGGAAATGTGAGTCCTCCAGTTTTGTTCTTTTTCAAGATTGTTTTGGCTATTTGGGATCCTTTAAGATTCCACATGACTTTTAGGATGAGTCTTTCTTTCTTTTTTTTTCTTAAATAGAAACAGAGTGTCGCTAGGTTTTCCAGGCTGGACTTGAACTCCTGGCTTAAATGATCCTCCTGCCTCAGCCTCCCAAGGAGCTGGGACTACAAGTTCACACCACCATTCCCAGCTGGATGTTTCTATTTCTGCAAAGACTATTGTTGGGATTGTGATACGAGATTGCTTTAAATCTGTAGATTGCTTTGGTAAATATCGTTACCTTCTCAATATTAAGTCTTCCAATCCATGAAGACAGAATATCTTTCCATTTAAGTCTTAAAATTTCTTCTGCAATGTTTTGCAGTTTTCAATGTAGAATTTTTTTTTTGCTTCCTTGGTTAAAGTTATTCCTATTTTATTCTTTGTGATGCCACTGTAATGAAATTGTTTCCTTATTTTTCTTTTTGGATTTTTCATCTTTAGGATATAGAAATACAACTTGTTTTGGTGTTGATTCTGTGTCCTGCAACTCTGCTGTAAAAATATTTTTATTTACTCAATATTTATTTAAAATGAATGAATCCACACATTGATGCGCATTTATGTAAGTTAGAGATACATTTTGCAGTCATGGCATTAACATCTGCCACAACTTCTAAACAAATAAATATATACATTTTTATATCTACAGAAGGAAGCCAAATGTGGGAAAAATATTTACTTCTATTCTTTAATCATTCTCATTTTCCTTTGTCTTCTCAACTTTTGTCAATTGTTGACCAACCTTCTGCACCCCTTCCTTGAAACATGTGTCTCCCTTGGCTTTGGTGGCATTGCACTGCCCAATTTTTCTCCTATTTATCTGATTACTTTTTTTTTTGGTGTCCACTGGCTCATTCTTCTCCCACTTCCAATTCCCTGCTCTTTGAATGTACTCTAACATTATGTGCTCAGTCCTCTGTTTTCTTCTCTTTTTCTTTTGCCTTCTTTAGATTATTCTTTTCCCAAAACTTTACCTATTTCTATTTGAATGACTCCCCTTAACAAGTATACAATAGGCAATGAGCATATGAAGAGCTGCAGAATCGCTACACTAATGAAAGACATACGTATTAAAATAAGACAATTTTACAACCATCGGATTTACTAAAATCAGAAAGTCAGGTGACACAGGTCTACAGTTGCATATATGAAACTCTGAAGATATTTCAAAATACAGAATGTCTCATATTTTATTTATTTATTTTTTCTTTTTTTTTGAGACGGAGTCTCGCTCTGCCGCCCAGGCTGGAGTGCAGTGGCCGGATCTCAGTTCACTGCAAGCTCCGCCTCCCGGGTTTATGCCATTCTCCTGCCTCAGCCTCCCGAGTAGCTGGGACTACAGGCGCCGCCACCTCGCCCGGCTAATTTTCTGTATTTTTTAGTAGAGACGGGGTTTCACCGTGTCAGCCAGGATGGTCTCGATCTCCTGACCTTGTGATCCACCCGTCTCGGCCTCCCAAAGTGCTGGGATCACAGGCTTGGGCCACCGCGCCCGGCCGTCTCATATTTTAAAAAAGTAAAAAGGTACAGATACTGTATATGGCATAGGGAATAGTATCCTGTAACCATGTATATTAACATTTCTATAATAAAATGTATAAATAGTCATATTTAACAGGATAAAGACTGTAAGTAGCCTCATCTTAGCTCAGGTAAGATTTTATAGCCAAATGAATTTGATGTAAATTTATATTTTAAAAAACCTGTGGTTTTAAGAGTTTTTGGATTTTAGAACTGGGCTAGCTACTGTCAACAAAGAATGAGAAAAGGGAAAAGAAGCTTTACATACTGCTGATGAGAATGTGAATTACTGTAACTATTCTGGATAATAATCTGGGAGTACTTCATGAAGTTAAATAATTATATGTCCCATGACCTAGTAATTCCAGCCCTAGGCATAAACTCTAGAAAAGGTTTGTACAAATGGTAGAGGAGTTGGAAGTAACCTAAGTGTTTGCAAGTAAAATGTGAAGAATATGTACATCATCAGAAGCAAGAAATCTGGTGTTCATATAGATTTTGAAAAGCAGAATAAGATCTGTATTAACATGCCACTTTATAAATTAAAATCACAAATATACACAAACAACATATAATATTCAAGGATACATTAATATTCAAGGACTTATATAAATATAATAGCATGGCTGCAATTAAATGGAATTGAGGATAAAGGGAAAAGTAATAAACTGAGAGGGGATTTGCACAGACCAATCTGTATATACTGAGGAGTATTATTAATTCAGCTCTCTGCACCTGGGGCCCAGAGAGAAAGAAGAAAAAACATAATCACTTTTGTCTACCTAGGTATAAATATAAACCCATACATTCACATGTGCAATATCATAGATGATGGAACACATTCATTCCCCATTTATGCTCTAGTCCTAAATACTTAATTGGGGTTGGCATATACCATAATTTTGGAGGTCTGAAGAGAAATCTAGCCATAAATTAACATTTAATTACAATTATTTTTATTACCACTTATGTTCTTTCATCTTCTTTATTCTACGTAAAGCTGCTGGAGACTATGACACTGTCATCATCTGGTTGTTAGGTAGAAAAGGAATACCCAGAAAAGCCATTTATCTTTTGGACAGAAGCCCAGTTTCCATTTTATCTTCTCACAGAGTATAAATATATAGCTTTATACTATTTTAAAATTCTTATCTCTGATTAGAAAATGTACACAGACTTATTTGCCCAAAGGAGTCTATTGGTAACTCCATTATTAAAGGAAATGCTATTTTATTTTTAGCATTTTGTAAATGCCAATGGTATACAATAATATTCAATATCTGAATCATTATACAACCATAAAAACTGAGAAGCCCCAGAACTACGTTCTTCCTCTACTCTTATCTCCATACCTAACTATAAGAAGAGCATTAGAACAGTGTCCCAAAGAGTAATCACAATACTTTAATATTTTCTGGTTGTCAAAATGCATTAGTAGGAAATATTACTCTAGAAAGATCACTCAAAATCTTTAATATGATGAAAGATTTCCTGAGCTAGAAATATACTATATGATTTTCATAGCAAGAGGTGTTGAATCATAACAATACATATAAACAATGATGACCTATCTCCTGAACATAAATTAGTCTCCAACAGTCCACATCTGGCTCTGATGAAATGTTTACCTAGAGTCCACTGGAGATAATAAACTACATAATATCCCATCAGCATTGCCTTTATCAGAGTGGTTTTAGTTTCTGCTGCAAACTGTTAATTGGGTTGAAGATTATTTAGATATATTTCTAGGACTAAGTAGTCAACTAGGATCTTTGGTTAAAAAAAAAAAAGTATGAGAAAATTCACAAAGGAAAAATGAAATGGAAAATTTCTTTGCTTGAATACTTCTCTAAGTTTCGAGTTCTCTTTATGCCCAAGCTTGCCATAAAAATGTATTCGTATAAGGTTTCAAATCATAAGCAAAGAAATACCATTTTTCTACTTTGCAGAAGGTAAAAAGACAGGGCTTATTGACAAGAAGGAAAACAAAATCTAAAGGGGCTCCCAAAACTAATTAAATAACTAATATATGGTTTGCACAAATAGACCCAGAACAACTCAAATCATAACTCTTTTGCCACTTAATCTAATCTTACCTTTCTTTCATAAAACTCTCGACTATACCAGTAAGGAATGAACTTTTTCTAAACTACTTCTGTTGGTAGACAGATGATGTACATGCATTTACAGGAAGAAGTGGACATAATTTTTTTTTTTTAATCCACTCCTTCTTATCAGGGAATATCCTGGTAAGGAGTGGTTAAGTAGGGAGGAATACTTTTCATTTTGTTTACCCTTAAGTTTCTCTCTCCAGTATCATTAAAAAGACCAGGAAAGTTTTACATATACATCTCAACAATTCAAAAGCAGAATTTTTGAAAACCATAAGCTTGTGTAATTATTTTAAAAAGGAAAAAAAAGACACAAAATTATCAATATAAAAACCAACTCACCAATGATGCCACTATCTCTGCTTTCAAGGGTAGAGGTTGGACTAGTAACAGCCCCATAGCTGCAGTCCTTGGCAGTTGCATTTGTACTGATGGGTGGGAGTGTAGAGCAGGGGCTACTGGCTGGTGGAGAGGCAGTGCTGCTAGTCAGGGTGGAACAAGGACTTATCCGCTGGGTGATTGCTGAGGTCTGAAAAATCGGAATTATGAATAAGTAAGATAACCTGACCAGCTGTTAAAGTATATTTTAAGATAAAATAAGTGCTCTGATGAAAAAAAAAAAACCTACATGCATAGCTTTTACATTTATTAGGCTCTATTTGTTTTTGCTTTCTCGGATAGGGACTTTGGGGTTTACAAATTAATGTGAAACTCGATGAACCTAACATTAACAGAGACTGTTGCCAGTTTTTCTGCCTACGAAATTTCCAGTGACAAGTGCCCTATCATTGCCATTCATTAATAGAATAGAGAAATTTTTTATCAAGCACAAGTTTTCCCTGCTATTTGCAAGTTTTCCTTGCAATCAATAAACTTTTTGAAAGACCTGGAACTTTGCATTGTTAATCATTTTCTTTCTCTTTTTTAAATTTTTTTTTGAGACAGAGTTTCACTCTTGTTGCCCAGGCTGGAGTGCAATAGCGCAATCTCGGCTCACTGCAACCTCCGCCTCCCGGGTTCAAGTGATTCTCCTGCCTCCCCAAAGGTAAGCTGGGATTACAGGTATGTGCCATCACACCCCGGCTAGTTTTGTATTTTTAGTAGAGATGGGTTTCACCATGTTGGCCAGGCTGGTCTCAAAACTCTGACTCAGGTTGTATCACCCGCCATCGACCTCCAAGTGCTGGGATTATAGGTGTGAGCTACCGTACCCAGACAATAATTTTCTTTAGATGGAAGGGAAAAAATAATCTCTATAGCTGGAAAGAAAAAAAGTTCTTAATGCAAGGAAGTGTCTTTTTGATACACAGGAAGCTGTCCAGAGACAATACATGAATGCAGGGAAAAATGCCTTATTCTAAAAGTTTGTCTAATAAAACAGAATATTAATTTAATACAAACCTAAATTACTTCTCTGTAACAGCATTACAGCCTGAGATCACTTTGTATCCTGAATGATTCTTACACTTGAAGTTATTTACTTTTTAAGTTTTGTTGTGAAGGAATAAATAGTTACTAAAAAGGTTGGTGATAATATATTCTGGTTTACCTAATTTAATGACAATTCACTTTTCTTCAACTCTTTCTACACAAATTATTACAATAGTGAATAAAACTATATTTTTTCAAACACTAAAAACACTTTATCTTTTTTTTTTTTTTTTTTTGTGACAGTGTCTCACTCTGTCATCCAGGCTAGAATGCAGTGGTGCAATATCCGGCCACTGCACTCCAGGCTGGGCGACAGAGCGAGACTCCATCTCACCAAAAAAAAAAAAAGAGAGACATTTACTATCGGTTCCCTCTGAAGCCTGCTACCTCGAGGCTTCATCTGCATAATAAGAACTTTGGTCTCTAAACCCTTTATCTTTTTTTTTTTTTTTTTTTTGAGACAGAGTTTCCTCTTGTTGCCCAGGCTGAAGTGCAATGGCACGATCTCAGCTCACTGCAACCTCCCCCTCCTGGGTTCAAGTGATTCTCCTGCCTCAGCCTTCCGAGTAGCAGGGATTACAGGCACCAAATACTGCGCCTGGCTAATTTTTGTAGTTTTGGTAGAGATGGGGTTTCACTATCTTGGCCAAGCTGGTCTTGAACTCCTGATCTTTTGTTCTACCCACCTCGGCCTCCCAAAGTGCTGGGATTACAGGCATGAGCCACTGTGCCCAGCCAACATTTTATCCTTTTTAAAATTATTAAGTGATCAGCAGCAAAATTACTTGAAGATGCATTAATGATAAATTTAACATTTTTAAATGTTAAATTTAAAAGAAACCTTTCTTTCAACTTCTTTACAAATAGAGTCTCTATTCATACTCTTTCTGCTAGAATTTAATAAATGGAGAATATGTTGATAACTAGCTATGAGAATATTAAGGCTCTTCAACTCATCCTGAGACGATTTCCAGATGCAGTCCCTTGTATTTAATCATCTGTGTTGAATCTAGGCTTTGATTTTAATTTAAATACTATAACCAGGTTACAAAAGATACATTAGACTCAATCAAGAACAAGTGACATTCTCATTACTCTCCAACCAAGTAAATCTTTTCAATCGTATCAATAATATTAGAATCTGATTTTTCTTAACAACACAGTAAGCTCTCAAATGTATCCAAATTTCTCTTCTACTATATGTTACCTCTCCACAGAAGAGGAGAGTTTCAATTTTTTAAAATCTCTATTTTTATAATATTATGCTGGTCTACCAGAGCAATGATTTTATTTTATTTTTTTTAAACCTTAAAATCTTTTTTCCCTTACAGAGCAATGACTCCTAACTAGGCACACAGTAGTATCACTTGTGACATGTAAAAAACAAACATGCAAGCTCTCTCACAAAATTGACAGATACTGGGCCCCCACTCCAGACTTACTGAATTGGAATCCTTCAGGTTAGAAATGTGGCAAACAATTTTTAACCTCCCACTCCCATTCTGAGACACATGTGGGTAGATGAAATGAACTGTACTCAGGTCTTTTACATTAGATATAGCTATAGTCATCCCATACTTGAAAAGTTTTAGGCCCAGCATGGTGGCCTATGTCTGTAATCCCAGCACTTTGGGAGGCTGGAGGAAGGTGGATTGCTTGAGGCCAGCAGTTTGAGACCAGCCTGGCCAACATGGCAAAATGCCATCTCTATTAAAAATACAAAAATTAGCTGGGTGTGGTGGTGCATGCCTGTACTCCCAGCAACTCAGGAGGCTGAGGCATGAGAATCACTTGAACCCAGGAGGTGGAGGTTGCAGTGAGCCAAGATCGTGCCACTACACTCCCGCCTGGGCAACAAAGTGAGACTCTGTCTCCAGAAAAAAAGAAGAAAAGTTTTATTATGGTATGAATCTATTACTTTTATAACAACTCATTTCTGTTCTTAGACAAGATTCTCATTCTGTTCTTTGTGAAAGAAAATCATATTATATGCATAATATTGACAACGTGGAGGTTAAGCCCAAACAACACTTACTTATTTTTACTCTAAGTTATTTTCTGCACATATCACAGAATGTATACTTTAAAAGCTTTAACTGTAAAAGCAAAGCTTAAATATCAAGCCATTTAGAAAACAGAAAATTGTTTATGGCTTACGACTTAAAAGGCAGGCCTTATGTTTATTTAAGGAGACTAGTTAATGAGCTAGAGAAAGACAACATTTATTCTCCATGCTGTAGGCTAAAATGGACATCTATTTAAGCCACTGCACTTCCTAAACCTTTGGGTGTTTTTCCCATTGCCCTTAATGTCCTCCAGAAGAATCCTAAGAAAGCTCCTAATCTGGATCTCTTAAAGGTCCTACAAATGCACAAGGTAAGTAGCTAAAGAGGAAATTAATAAGGTCCATTTGAATACCTTGGAAACTACTGAAAGAAGAAAGGGGTCAGGTGAATATCACTTTCATGCTTTTGTTTTTCTGAAGAAAAATGATGCATGCTGACTTGCATTAGATTCTGTCATTACTATTTTGAGAATATCATCACTACATGATCTTCCTAAGCACAGCAGTTTATCTTTGTTAATATACTGTTTAGCTCAGAAGAAAGTCACCAAATTAACATGACCTCCTACTTCTTAATAATCTTCTTGAGACCAGAAATTCCAGGGTCAATTCAGTCACTTTCTTGTGTGGTTCCAAGATAGTTCCAGCGTATATTACACTGCAAGAAGGCTATCATTTAGCTTCACTATTAATATTTTACATTTGTATAACGCTTAACAATTTAAAAATATTTTTATATGTTATCTCATTTACTCTTTATCAACGTGGTATGAGAGGCATAATGCATGTTATTTCCCCCACTTAAGAAATGTGAAAATGAAACCAATGAAAGTATGAAAGCTATGATGTAATTTCCCCCAGATCACACAGTTGCTGCATATATTTACATACTAATTATATTGCATATTATTTTATACTTTTTATTTATATGGCATTTTACAACTTACAAAGGATTTTCATATTCATGATTTAACTTGATCCTTTCAACAACCCTGTCAGGTGTTATTATTTCATATTACACTGGAACAGTATGGTGTGGCTGTTAAGAACATAGCTTATAAAAGCAGACTGCCTGGATATGAATACCATTCCATCACTTTCTGGCAGTGTGTTTCCATCCCTTATTTGAAAATTGGAATATGAATGAACTCCACCACACTGGGTTGTGAAGAAGCTTTAACGAAATAGTGCAAGTAAAAAATTAGTACAATAATTGGTACACAGTAGGTATTTAATAAACGTCAGTATTATTACCTATGAAAAATATAAAGCCCAGAGACGTTAAGTGACATGTCCAAATTTACAAAACGGTAGGTGGCAGAGTTGGAACTAGAACACAAATCTTCTCCCTTCTGGATCAATGGCTTTTCTATCATACCATATTGCTTTAATTATATTAAATCAATGATACTGCTCATTTACTTAAGATTGTTATTCAGTAATGTTCAAGTAAGGCGTACTCCATAGACTTGTGACTTTACACAGAAGTCACTGTGACAAATCTCAAGAGCAACAAGTACACATTTTATAATCCAAGGAAATGTAGCTGTGTAGAAATGACAGGGTCCTTGAAAAATATTCAGGTTATAAGATATAAGACATCAAGTTACCTGGTCATTATTAGAAAAGTCACATTTTAACTTGACATGAATATCAAGAAATGAGAGCTGAAATAGACGTTTCATTGATCCCAATTTTTAAAAATCCCTCAACAAGATCATTCCATTTTTTATTCACAGGGCACAGCATACTGACATAGTTACAATGTAAATTGATTTAAAAAATCATCAGCTCTGACATCATGAAACATACATTCTTGTTATGAGGTAAAACAATCCTGCAACTAAACATGTAATGTAATATCAGTTAATGGTAAAAGCTATGAAAAATTAAAGTAGGAGGATAAGGGGATATAGGGATGGGCAGGTGCAATTATTAGAAGAGGAATTAAGACCTCTCTGAGGAGGTAAAATTTAGGCAGAACCCTGAATAAGTGAGGAAGTGAGTTGTGGGGGAAGAACATTCAAGTACAAATGAATATAGCTGATGTGTCTGGCAAATGACAAGGAAGCCAATGTGGCTGGAGAGCCGTGCATGAAAGGGAGAGGGGTAGGAGGTGATGTAGGAGAGGTAGCAAGTGGCTAGATCAGGTGCAGCCTTCCAGGCCATAGTAAAGATTTTAGATTTTATTCTAAGTATGATGGGAATACAGGAGATTACAAGCAAAGTGACAGAATCGGATTCACATTTTACAAGGATCACTCTGGTTACTGTGTGAACACACTACAGGGGAGCAAGAGTGGAAGCAGAGACCTATTAGCAGGCCCATTTATTCATATAATAAATACCTACTGAGCACCTAGTAAAGACAATAATGTTCTAGGGGCAGAGGATATGGCAATGGGTAGAACAGGCAAAAATTCCAGCCTTCCAGTCTTACATTCTAGTACCTATTGCAGTAGCACAGGCAAAAGATGACAGTGGCTGGGACTTGAGTATAGCAGTGGGAATAGTGAGAAGGGATCAGATTGAGTACATATTTTGAAGCCGGGGTCTATGATTTGCTGAAAGAGTGAATGTGGGTCTGATGGAAGTCAAATGGCTCCAATGCTTTTGTCCTAAGCAAGTAGGTGATACCATTTATTCATATGGGAAACACTGCAGAAGGAACAGGTTCTAGGGAGAAATCTGACATGTTAAGTTTGAGATACATTTTAAACATTAGTTAGAAAATATAATGTGGGAAGCTACATATACAAATTTCAAGTAAAGGGGAAAAGGCAAGGCTAGAGATAATCAGGGAGTTAAGATAGTATTTAAATAATGTGCAGCTAGCAAAACCAATAACCTAGGAGTGAGACTTGAGGAGAGCGCCCTGGAACATCTGAAATTATCCACATGATATATAAATATATTCAAATAATCCTTGTATATCTCATTGTAATGAAAGTAATATGTGATACAGAATCTTCACTTTTATTAATATGCAATTTAAAATTAATTTGTCATCTCCTGAATAAAACGCTTCACTATCATTCACACTGAAGATTAAGATCATATAAATGAATCTGACTCTAGTACTTTCGTTTGCTACATTTAAACTGAAAGACATGAAAATAGCAAAAAGAAAGAAAACTACAAAATATTTTTTAAATTGCTGATTTTTTTAACTTTCTGAGATGGATACTTAGAAAATCCCCAAATATGTAGACATTGAGTAATATACTTCTAAATAGCCTTTGAGTCCAAGAGGAAATCACAAAAAAATTAGAAAACATTTAAAATTGAAATAATAAAAACTAAGTATAACAAAACTTGTAGGATATAGCTAAATATGTGCTTAAAAAGAAATATTAGTTTTAAATGTGTATTTTAGAAAAGTAGAAAATCTAGGCCGGGCGCGGTGGCTCAAGCCTGTAATCCCAGCACTTTGGGAGGCCAAGACGGGCAGATCACGAGGTCAGGAGATCAAGACCACCCTGGCTAACATGGTGAAAACCAGTCTCTACTAAAAATACAAAAAAAAGTTAGCCAGGCGAGGTGGCGGGCGCCTGTAATCCCAGCTACTCAGGAGGCTGAGGCAGGAGAATGGCGTGAACCCAGGAGGCAGAGTTTGCAGTGAGCTGAGATTCGGCCACTGCACTCCAGCCTGGGCGACAGAGCGAGACTTCGTCTCAAAAAAAAAAAAAAAAAGAAAAGAAAATCTAAACTAATGATCCAAGTAATCTTTTAGATACCACTTTCTAAATTATCATTTTGTAACTGATAAATTCAACTGTAGTTCCGGTAATTGGAATCTCTGGAAATTTGTTGAGACCTGCTCTACGGCTTAGCATATCATCAATTTGGTAAATAATCCACATGCACTTGAAAAGAATGTATACTCTGCAAATTTGGGGTGCAGTGCTTATATACACGTCAAGTTTATTTGTTGGTTTGCTCACTCATTCATTCATTAAATCAATCAAAACCTAAAAGTGGCTTTTTCGATTGTAACTCTAAGACTAAAGCTAAAAGATTATTCATAAACCGAAGAAATAATAGTGATTATGGAAAATTAAATTGTATTCTAGGCCTCAAAAGGCTTTCAACAATTGAGATTATTTCTGACATAATAAGCTGATTCATACTATGTTTCTCAAAGGTGATAGCAAATGGCTTACCTGATTTTCATCCTGCACTTCCATGCTGTATTGGTCACCTGGCTGAACTTCTGTGACTTTCTCTCCAAGGAGGAAACCCAGACGAGTCATGAGTGTGTTTGCTGCCTCATCTACAGATGGAGGGGGGCCAAGCTCCTGTTCAGCATCACCTGTAACAAGAAGGCATTGAAGAACATGAATCTTTCAAAATAAAATGGTCTAGTTCTGCAACTATTCATACATTCACTCTGGTCATTTCTTTAGTTTTCACATTTTAACTCAAAAATGACAAGGTTATGAGGTTTTTCTTGGACTACTCACTCTCAATATAAATTTGTTTCCAAGTACAAAATTTACACGAATCAAATAAAAATGAGCCAGGGAACTCAAAATGATTAAAAAAGTGAGGCAAAAAAAATTTTTTCCTAAAATGACTATCTGTTTATGTTGACTTACTGTCCATATTTATTCAGGTTTTGTTCTAAATTCAGAGCATTTAATCTCACCTTGTAGCAATCCACAGTAGCACAGATTTTAAAGGACATTACAAAAATCCTTTTATGGGGTCAGATATATCCGTTAGCATTACAAGCACTAACTGTAGTGTCATATGGTTTGATGCCAAAACACAACAGCATCACTACACACAATCACATCTTATTATTTAGGATATTCAGTATTACACAGTAAACCACTCCAAATGCCAAGAAGGTAAGATCTGCATTGTTATTATTCCATTTAACTTTATACTAACGTCTCTAATAAAGTCACAAGCTGGGGGTCAGAGATAGGGTATATGTGTATTTTTGTGTATTAGTACTGAACTCAAGTGTTCCATCTGTGAAAAATCTATAAAACTCTCACTGAATGTATGTCAAGGTAGAAAAACAAGGCTCTATTTTTCCTCTCCTATTATCCTCCCAGAGGCAACATAAATATATTGCTTTGCCACAGAACAGAAATAAGAGAATCAGTAGGGTTATTTTTATATTATAAACATTTAGATACTTATTTTTTTTTCTCAAGAATAATTGGAAGCTTCTTATTCCTTGATAAAATGAAAAGGCAAAACTGGTCTCTTCAAATTAATGAATAACACTTTCCTCCCTCCTAAAGGTTAAACTAACTAATCTTTTGCAAATTTTTCTCATCATAGATTCCAGACCTCTAGATATTCTGGGGCTCTATTTCACTGCCTCCTACAAAGTTATTCAGATAATTAGTAAGTGTTTTCTACGTACATGGTTAACAACAGATATGCGAATTTATATATAACATGGAGATACAGTCATTGACTTTGAAAAGTTTATAATCTATATGGAAAATAAAATAAGAGAGTATATATTTATTTAGCATATACTTACATAATGCTTATGATGCACAAGTCACTAGTGTAAATACTTCACAAATGTTAGCTTACTTAACCTTCATAACTTTAGATTCCACTTTCTAAGGTACAAATTATTACCCTCATTTTACAGATGAGAAAATAGAGGCACAGATAAATTAAATTATTTGCTCAAAGTAACACAACCAGTAAATGGTAGGGCCAGGATTAGAACTTGAGCTCCCTGACTCCAGAATTTATGCTCCCAATGAGCACAACAGTGTCTTCCTCACTGGAAACAAATATTACAAATGGTGAGAATGTCTGAATAAGAGATAACTTGTAATAATAGGCATATTGCTTATAGTATGTTAATCTCAATAATCCTAACAAAGCAAGTTGTAAACACTAAGGTAATCAAATGAAGGTTCTTAAGAGACAGATAACTGCAACCCTTTCTACATTACTACTTCCAGTACTTCCAAGTACGAATGCAGAAAGAAGTTCAAGAATTCTTCTGTGGGTGGCTATATTACATACTGCTACCACACCAGGTCCTTTTCATTTGCTTTGACTGGTATTTTTTTACACCTTGCTAAATCTACTTTTTCTTTCCTATTTACTTACCTCATCTCAAAATATCATTTGAGGATGACATTAATATGATACTATCTGCTGTGCACTCTATAATGAAAGAAATCCGATACCAGGTTATGATACGAAAAAACTATCTTTGGCAATTACATTTGTTTTGAACTTTTCTTATTTGTTGATCTTGAGTAAAATTTTACACATGATGAAAAGGCCTAGTAGATGAATTAGTGAGGGCTTCTCAAATAACAGACAGGGACCTGTGAATCCCTCCATCTTAAGTCTTAGATTACCAACAGCTGCCTCTGTCTCCTCTTCCTTAAAGTATGCCAGGATTTCGGGTGGAAGAAAGTAGAAACAGTAGAGGCACCTCTTTTCTAGTTTCTAGATTACAGACTTCACTGTCAGTAACCTCTTCCCTAATCCATTTTCATTGACTATTTTAAAATAAATTAAAAATAGTTACTTCTGAAAACAAAAAAGGGTGGGGCAAGGCGTGGTGGCTTATGCTCTAAATCCCAGCACTTTGGGATGCTGAGGGAGGTTGATCACTTGAGCCCAGGAGTTCAAGACCAGCCTGGGCAACATGGCAAAACTCCATCTCTACAAAAATTACAAAAATTAGCTGGGTGTGGTGGCGCGTGCCTGTGGTCCCAGCTACTTAGGAGACTGAGGCAGGAGAATTGCTTGAACACAGGAGGCCAAGGTGGTAGTTAGCCGTGATCATGTCACTGCACTTCAGCCTGGGCAACACAGCAAGATCCTGTCTCAAAAATAAACAATATATTTTTTTTTTTAAAAAGGTGGGAATATGTGAAATATATTTTGAAGGTGCTCTGTAGGACCAGATGAGCAGCTTCTCACTTGTAGGGATTTATTAGGCTGGTGCAAAAGTAATTCAGGTTTTTGCCATTATGGCACCATTAAAGGTAATGGCAAAAACCACAATCACTTTTGCACCAACAGAATAGTGTATTCAAATACTGTATATTGAAACACGAAGTCAGGTCCTCCCCTCCAAACCATTTCATTTAAAATATGCTGAAAATGTCACGAGGTCACGCATTTTCATTTTTTCCTACTTAGTGTACGTTGATTCTGCATTCTTCCTTAAATACTACCATTTTTCTTCCCTTTTCGTCTCATTTCTATTTCCCACTTGCAAGTAACTGCTATGATAAAACCTCTCTGCCTGCAAAATGAAAACTTACCAGCAGAATAAAATCTGGCCAGTGGCATAAAGATAGACTTTTCCCCCGTCATTACAATTAATAATGGGGCCATCTGAAGATCACTAAAAGGGAGGATTTAATGGAAATAGTGGTAGCTTAAGAGAGAGAAATCAGTGCTTAATTATCAGGGTTATTGGGTTTGTAATTTTTAAGAATAGAGAAAGTGAGTTAAAAAAGTTTAAGAAAATTCTTTGACCTATTTTAAAGATTGTCTGGTCTTTGGAGGCAATGCGCGTTTTAGAATGAGTTTCATCCATATTGTGTGTATCAAGTCTTTTAGTTTTTTTTTTTTTTTTTGCGGGGGAGGGTGCATTACGGTTTTCCATGTTCATGGTTTGGAAGATAATTTTGTTATGATATCAACATTCCCCAAATCAACCTACCAATTTAATGCAATCCTTATCAAAATTCCAGCTGCTTGCTTACTTGCTTCCTTTCCTTCTTCCCTTCTATTTTCAGAAATTGACCAGCTGATCACAAAAATTATATGGAAATATAAGGGGCCCAAAATTAAAAAAAAACCTTTAAAAAGAAGAACAGAGTTCGAAGACTCATATTTCCTATTTTCAAAATTTACTGCAATGCAACAATAATCAAGGCAATATGGTACTGGCATCAGAATAGACCAAGGAAATAAAGAGTCCAGAAATATACTCTTACATTATGGCCAATTGATTTTTTTTTTCTTTTGTGGGACAAGGTCTCACTCTGTTGCCCAGACTGGAATTCAGTGGTGCAACCATGGCTCACTGCAGCCTCAACCTCCTGGGCTCAAGCAATCCTCCTGCCTCAGCCTCCTGAGTAGTTAGGATTACAGGTGTGCACCACCATGCCTGGATAATTAAAAAAAAATTTTTTTTGTAGAGATGGTGTCTCATTATGTAAACCAGGCTGGTCTTGAACTCCTGGGCTTAAGCAATCCTCCCACTTCACCCTCCCAAAGTGCTAAAATTATAGGCATGAGTCACCATTCCTGCCTTGGTCAATTTTTAACAAGGATGCAATGACAATTCAATGGGAAAAAAATACTCTTTCCAACAAATGGTGTTGGGACAACTGCATAAACACAAAGGTATGAAGCTGGAGCCCTACTTCATATATCAAAATTAAGTAAAAATGCGTCGTGGACCTAAATGTCTAAGCTAAAACTATAAAACTCTTAAAAGAAAACATGGTAGTAAACTTCGTGACCTTTGGTTAGGAATGGTTTCTTAGACATGAAACTAAAAGCATAAGTGACAAAAAGAAAAACAGATAAATCAGACTTCATCAATATTAAAAAGTGTCATGCTTCAACGGATACCATCGAGAATGCAAAGACAACCCACTGAATGGGAGAAAATATATGTGAATCATGTGTTCAAGGGACTTGAACCCAGACTATATAAAGAACTCCTACTACTCAACCATAAAAAGGCAAATAAACGAATTAAAACATAGGTGAAATATCGGAATAGACATTTCACCAATGAGGGTATACAAATGGTCAATAAGTACATGAAAGGATGTTTGACATAATTAATCATTAAGGGAAATGCAAATCAAAACCACAAGGAGATATCAAGTTATACCCACTAGGATGGTTAAAACAAAAAAGACACGCAATAACAAACAGTGAAATTTATTGGAACCTTCATACAATAATGGTAGCAATGTAAAATTGTGCAGACATTTTGAAAATAGTTTGGCAGTTCCTCAAGATGTTAAACATAGAGTTACCATGTGGCTCAGCAAATCTACTCCTAGGCATATACCCAAAAGAATTGAAAACACGCATCAACTTGTACATGAATGGTCATAGTACTGTTATTCATAACAGTCAAAAATAGAACCCCACTGTCCCTCAAATGATGAATGGATAAATAAAATGTCATATATTCCCATTAGGGAACATTTGGCCATGAAAAAAAAGAAATAATGATACATGCCATAATATGAAAGAACACACACTGAAAGTATTGTGCTAAGAAAATCAGACACAAAAGACCACATATTGTATGATTCTAATCATATGAAATGT